CATTTTAGGACCGTTCTTAAACTTAACAAGCAACTAATTAAATTTATTACACTTTTGAAGAAAGTAACGATGTAGTTATTTATTCAGCTCTTGCTTTAACAGATTTTTTCTGAGACTTATTGAGTAGAGTTAAATAAGTTTTCTTTATAAGGGCAAATACTATAATTCAAAATTTTCGTTGTTTTTTGCATATTCTTTACTCTACCGTTTGATTTAAGATATGACTGATCGAGTTATTTTCGACAGTTCACTATGCTGTAGGCCAAGTACTTTTTCGAACGGTCTTGTTTTTCAACTCACAATACTTTATCCTCGTAAACGAGGTGGAATGCGACCTGTGGTCATCTGCTATGGGGGTATGTTGATTAGGGTCGAGTATGATGGCTGTTACGCAGTACCAACTAATATTCTTAAATTTGCTTTGTTCCAATTCTTTAGGTCATTATGAGGGAATGCTGGAGCAAGAACGACGTGGAAGAGACCCTGCTCCGCCAACTCCAACATGTCTAGTCGGTTGTGGTTTTATTATGGACTCTCTTGCCAAACTACACTGTGCACGTTTTCCAGGTGAATCATAATTTAAAAAATTGAAGCTTTGAAAATGGAGCTTTTGCCGTAATTTAGAATACCTATTTGACAGCTTTTGGCGACTTCTAATAAAAAGGTTTTTTAACATATCTTACGGCTTGACTTTATATGCATGTTTAAGGTTTTGGAAAATCTTTATGTTCTGCCCTTGTTTGTTCTGTTTCTTCTGAACTGATTATGGAGGAAGTTTGTTTGGTTAGGCTGCTCTGGGAAAACAACATATCAGCAGATATACTTTACGACCCGGTATCATCAGTGCACGAATTGGGTCTACTTGTATGCATCATTGTTTTGCTTAATTAATTTTCATTCTGCTTCCTCCGCAACGTATTCACATTTTAAGGAACACTGCAGTGAGAAGGAGATTGGAAATATATTAATAGTAACGGATAGGAACGAGGTTTTTCTTCGATCACATAACACTGATTATGGGAAACTGTCATTTTCTGATGCCGTCGCCAAGTTGATATTTTATTTACATTGTTTTTTTTTTTT